TGAGCTGACGCATCTCGATAGGTGCCGTTGATGATGGCCAGTTCCATCAGCTGACGTTTCTTAAGCTCATCTTCTCCTTCAGTCTGTAGAAAAAGTGATACAAAATACAAAATTGTTTTATTTTTTAACAAAAATAATTAAGTTTTGGAAAACTTAAAAAAACTTACGATTGGCACAAGTAGCTTTTTCACCTCTTCAATGGCCCGTTCCAGTTTTGGCTGAGCTCGGTTTTCACTATCTTCAACAGTGATAAGCACGTGCAGCTTATCGTTAAGATGCTCCCAGTTAGGTTTCCCTCTGTTTTGCTCTTCCTGCAAGTAATGTGAACAATGATTATTCACAATTCAAAACGAAAACTTTAAGTAAGTTTTACTAGCCTTTTTCTTATCTCTCATAGAACCTTTTCCTCGAACCATAATCTTGCAACCCGTTTCCAGTTCAAGTTGCTTTGCTGTCATGCCACGAGGGCCAAGAATTCGTCCAACAAAGTTGAACTAAAAAGTTGAAAAAAGGTATTTTATAATTGTCACAATGTGCTTAACAGTAATTTTGAAAACAAAAAACAAAACAAAGCAAATAATTACATCAGGATGCTCATCAACAGGCACGTAGACCTTCTCAGTGCGCATTATGGTCGGTCCATCAGGCTCAGGCAGCACCAATGGCTTCTTCTCGTCGCTGTTAAGCTGAAACAGTGATGAACGGATGCGGGCAATTTCTATGATTAAGCAAAGGGCAAAAACAAAAGAAAGTGAATGAGAAACAGGTTAAACAGCGTTAATTAAAAGTTATCTGTCTGAACAAACAAGTTAATCAACGCTAATTAATCAAACAACAACAAAAATATCCTGATTAGTTTATCAAAAAGCTTTCACGACAGGTTAGTGGCAGTTTTAATTAGCGAACTTTCAGTAAAAGGAAAAAACAGTGTAGGCAGTGCTGTCGCGTGGGCAACTTATGCAAGACACGTTGAGCAAAAAGCCCATTTGGCTGTCGCTGTCTTGTTAGAGTAGTTCACGTGACTTCCATGAAAAAAAAACAAGTAAAAAACTAGAAAAAACTAGTTCAATTTTTACCAAAACTTTTGCAATTAAACACTTAACAGTGTTTGTTTTTGCTGAACAATTTTGTGCACTTTTTTGTTTTGATAAAGTGCTTATTGTTTTGTTTTTGCAAAAAAAAACTTTTATCTGAGGTTAAACGCATAAATCACTGATTTTAAAAAATTGAAATTTTTATTATGCATTTTCTTGGCAACCTTTCTCATTCCCTTCCTTTTTACTTGAACTCTGAACTACACAGTGTCATAAAACAACTCAATGGCGCTAATCTCACAGTACAGTGGGCGTTTGCGTAAAGCGCTGTACTTTTGGGCTGACGGGCTGCTGCTGTAACTGCCGGTGATTAATCGTCTATTGCTAAAGCCAAGCTTGCTCTTCTTTTCTGTTTTGGCGTCAGAAAAGTTGCCACCATCGCCGACACTCAAACGAACGACATTGCCAATCTGGTCAACCTTTTTTCACTGGCGCGCCCAAAACTTACGTACTTTGCTTTCTGTTGCTGGTGCTGCTGCTGCTGCTGCTACTGCAAAGCAAAAAGCCCATCAGTGATGCAAACTTGTGTCATTTTTCCGTTTTATTTTGTAGCTGCCGGCTTTGTCAGTTAGCCTAATGAAACAACCAGCACAAGTATCTTGTTTTTAGACAGTGCAGAAGTACCGGCTTTTTGACAACTGAACATAACAAATGATGATTTTGTCAAAAGTTATTTAGTTTATTTTTAAAAAGTAACTACTTGAAGTTAGGGTTTAATTTGGTTAATCTATATTGATGAAACTTAAACAGTTTTAAATTTAAAAATACTAAACGGTTTTTCAGGTTTGATTTTACATTTTTTCTTCTAAACTTAAACAGTCAAACCCAAGTTTCTAGTGCTTTTTTGTTTTTTCAACTAGTTCTAACAAGTGCTCTACATATGAGTTCAACTTGTCAAAAAGTGAAGTGGAAAAAGAAAAAACGGAAAAACTTGTCAAAAGTTGACAAAACGGCTGTTTGAACTGAATGCAGCCAATCATAAGTTGAAGCTAGCAAAACAATGAATAACAACAGGCAATGGTGACTTGTTGAACTTATTCTATTATGGGCATGTGTTGTGCAAACTGCTAAAAAGTGTTGCTGTTGCCTGTCTGATTTGCGCCTCGTGTATGCTCCGGCAAGTGTTGCTGTTGTTGCAGCGGCTGCAAGCACTAGCAAAAGAAACGCCGCCAATTTTGAGCTACAATCATTTTTTGTTTTTCATATTCTGCAATGCAAAGAGGATTCAACTAATCTGAATGTTTTTTCTTTGATTTTAATATATTCCCTCATTTGTTCAAAACAAAGAAAAGAGATACATAAGCTGGAAAAGCTGCAAAAAGAAGAGAGAAGACACGTGAATGCACGCGGAAAAAGAGGTTGCACTGAGTGTGTTTAGTTCAATGTGACTGCGTTGCATTGTTGCAGCGCACTGACAGTTTGCTGCAATAACGGCAAGAAGAAGAAGAACGCTCATCAGTATCCACTGAAAAGCATCATTTGTTTTTGTAATAATTTTAGTTTTGCAAAGCTAATTTTGCCGCCATTGTTTGCAACTACATGACTAATTTTAGCGCAGATTAAGAAAATGACTAAGCTGTCTCTAGCAACACTTTGAAAAATTGTTTTTAATTTGTTGTCATTACTAGAAAGTGTACCCTACTCTCAGCTGAACAAACGAGTTTGTTCAACATTTATAAGAACAAACGCTAGTTTTATTTAAGAGTGTTGTCAGTTTTTTCCGTTTTTCAAAACTGTCAATTTGCCAGTCAACTGTCCATTTCCTTATTATCAGAGGAAACACTGCCTAAACGTTGCCGCAGTGGTCAAGAGCTCATTCATTGGCAATCGATTAAATGAGAAATTGAGAGGCAATTGTGTGTGTGTGTGTTGGGGGAGGGCATTAAACAGCAGAACTCAGTAGGAGGGAAATAGCTAACGCTGTGGCTAATGCCAAATGACTGATGCACAGGCAAAAAATGCATTCTAAAGATGAGCTCAAAATGCATTACACGGGTACAGTAGACAGCAGCCACAAGGCAACTCCGTCAAAAAGAAGAAGAAAAGAGGAAGGGAAGAAACAAACGGCAAGTTAAAGAATTGGCTTGTAGCAATCATTGTGGCAGAAACTGGTATGCCTTCACTTTCACAGTTTTCTACAACAGTGTTTTCTGCCTCCAAAAACGTTTGAGCAGCAACTGTCAAATGCAACAAATAGCCCAATTGGCCAATTGATGAGCATTGACGAGCTAAAAAAAATGAGGGCAAAAAATGGAAAAAAGCCCACAGCTGCAATTCTAATGTAGTGGCACTGTCATTTGTCAGTTTAGAAAAAGAAAAAGAGGAAAAAAGCCGACAAGTGACTATTGCTAGAATGCAAAAAAGTAGAATTTTCTGTGAAGTAGATAGAGCCTCTATGAGCTGGGCCATCGATCACATCCATTGCAAATCAGACGACTGCCACACAGTCAACAGATGAATGGTCTGTCTGTCAGGTTGTACCTGTGTGACAGTGTTTGTGAGTGTGTGTGTGTGTGTGTGTGGTTATGCCAAAAGAATGTCCTCTTTGCTTGGCAGTGGTTTTTTTGCTAGACATTCAGACTGCAAAAATGATGCGGTAGTGACTTTAAAAGCAGCAAACTTTCGTTTGAATCCTCTTTTCCACTCTCATAACTTTCTGCTAAGCCTAGGCTAAAATCATTTTCAGTTCACTTTTTCTCTCTCTCTCTCTTTCTCTCTCTCTTTTTCTCCTCTCTATCGCATGGCCAATCGCATTTGCGATGATAAATCACGACAGCGTCAGGCAGCACCATTCAAGCACAGTCACCGTCAACGTTAGCAGAGCAATGCCAGTCAATGGAAGGAACCTTCCTGTCAGTGAACGACAGTCAGCACAGCCAAGGAAAGACGCCTACGCAAAAAGCGAGCCAAATCGATTACTTTGCTGCCACTGAAGAGTGGCTGTGTATGTGTCTTTTTCAAGAACTGATGCAACAAATAGCAAATACTTAAATAAATAACCAAAAACGAACAAGAACAAGTAGTGCGTTTTTTCAGTTTAATAAACTTTTAAAATTGTTTAAAATTTTACAAAAAAATTGCAACATTTTCTATCAAAAATTTTTTGTTTAGTTTTAAATTTTGTAGTGAAAAACTATTTGTGATGTAAGGGCAACAATTTTGACGGTCATAAACCAGTAATTTTTAGTTGCTGTAGAATGTTAATCTTTACAATTTATCCTTTATTTTTGCTAATCTACTTGATTTTATTTTAACAATGAGCATTTACAATACACAAAAAAATAAATGTTGATGTCTGTGTTTTAAAATGTTCAGAGAAGCGCTGAGTGAGAGTGAACACAAGCATACGTAGTCCAGACTGACTTTAATGGCAAAGAGTAGCTGCTTATATACACAAACAGGCGACGTAACTTCGAACTCTCAAAGCCACGTCGCTAGCGGCCTATGGGCCGCTACTTCAGTTTAAACACAATTTGTAGTCGCAACACGTTAATTAAGATTGCATTAAGTTGACAGTTTTTAAAATTACACGTTAACTGTGCATTCTGTTTTCTAGTCAAAAAGAAACACAATTTATTTGGACAAAACACACACCAGATGGTCAAAGATAACGTACAATTTTTTTTATAAAAAGAAAAAGTCAAGCTAGGGTGGGCGCAGTATCTAAAGTGAACTAATGTTAAAAGACTAACTTAACAGATAAAAGCTTAGAGTGCACCTGTTTAACTGCTGATAGTGAAAACACATGCACTGAAAATCTAAATAACAAAAAAAGGGGAAAACGGTGAGAAATTAATTACAGATAGAAGGGGTGCAGCGGAGGCGGCGACGGCGGCTGCACTACACTACACTTTGTCCATTTTCTTTACCAGATTTCAATGGCACCGTACCGTGCGACTGCATTGGGCACGCCAGAGTGATTTGCAGAAAAGAAGTGAAAAGAAAGAGAGAGAGAGAGAGAGAGAGAGAGAGAGAGCAAAGGGAGCTTCGTTTTTAATTTCAGCGCCAGATACTCTATCATTAGTCAACTCTCTCTTTTTCTTTTGCACATTTGTGCCGCATCTAAAGCTGCCTAAAGTGACTAACACAAACACATCGGCTAGTTCTTTTTTGTCAGCATTATTATGGTGTGTCTGCAGGCAATGTGAACAAATTGAAACTGTAGCGGAAACAATACCAAAAACAATCTACCTACACAAACGAACAACAAAATAAAAACACAAAAAACATTTTTTACTTTCTCAGTTTAAAATTTAATGATTTTTGTTTCAACATGAAAACAACGTGTTTGTTCTCTCGGTTTTGCATGCCGGCAACTACACAATCTACTTAGTTGCCTGACAATTTTGTTGACCACTCAATTCAATGAGCCCATGAAAATACAATGCACAATGAAATGTGTTGTGGGCAATTGATAGGTAGGCAATTGGATCAACTGCAAACTGAACGCAACAATGCACCAGGGGCAAATGTAGTGGTAGTAGTTAGTAGAGGGAAGAATGTGAACGTGTTTTCTGACACTGACCTGTCAAGAGGAGCGGGCAGCAAAAAAATGCATCACTGACAGAAAAGTAGGTGATCAACATCGGCACCTTTTCATCATTCATGTAGGTATTAAGTGAAA